TTTCTGGGGTGAAGCATTCACTGGGGGAAGCCCAGCCTGAGAACTCAGCTATACCTCATACACAACATCTCTTTGCTATTTGTGTTTTACTTTTTTTTCCCCCTCTAATACAATTGTTTAGTAAGAAAGCTCTGTCTGTTGTTTACACAAAGCTTGCTAATTCACATTGTGCCTTATTTGAACAAGAGTTTTAACCTTCCTTTCCTTTAGTCATGTCATTAAACTAGAATAAATGTACAAGCCTCACAGACCCTGCGTAAAAGATGTTAATTAACACATTAAGGCAAGGCTGCCCTGCTTACAAAGGGAAATTGGAGCTTCAGACCATGTTGTCAGCAAAACAAAGACATTTATGACATTCCTAAAGTTTATTGGGTGTTCTCAACATACTAGAGTTGCCAAATAAGTGTTTTGCTGGAAGCCATCCAAAACATAAATAGAATTTTAATTCTCCTTTGGAGTCTCTGTGACCCCAATTACCCTCTGTAGCTCCTTTGAAAGACTGTGCAACTGAACACATAATTATGAAACACTTTTGAATTACGAAACAATGTCAAATTAACTTCAGTTGAATAGCTGGTCTCTCTTTAAAAAAGGAAAATTCAGTTATTAGAAAGCTGGAAGAGGTTCATGTCATGTGGGGCTTGAGACTTAGCCCTTAAGCAGGTGCTCAGTTCACTCTCATACCCATCTTTTTACCGGGTGCTGAACTTCAGAGAATATTGTATCAGTTTCCTTCTACATGTCATGCATATCTAGGGAAAAAACTCATAGGTGAGGACATTGATAAATTAAATTTCTTTATATTTTTAAGGGATTCATTTCCCTTTGTTGGTGAAGAGGGTGCAGAGGCTGTTGCTGTGTAACCAGAGGAAGGTCCATCAGGGGCTCTGGTTGGAGAGGGAGAGATGCTACTATGGAATATATCCTGCCTTCTCCCGAGACTTCTGCCATTGAGGAAGAGCTTTAAAACAGGAGAGGAATTCCAAGGTCGTCCCCTGTGCAAATGTTGTCCAGATCCACGTGATTAAATTGTTTGGCCTCACTCAGCCCCACGCTGGCTGCTGAGCTTTGCTGCCCCTTCGCTTCCCTTTTTCCAGTCCCTGGGCAGATTTGCCAGGTGGGATGAATAGATCTACCTCCTCCCTTCCCAGGGAAGCCACAGGCAGCCTTTCTGTCACAGGCATTGCCCTGAATACAAACTGGGCCCTACAGAATCGCATCTTTACCACTCTCTGTCTGTTCTTTGTTCCCAGCCGCCTTTTCAGGCCTTTTCAAAACTCATCTTGTTGCAGAGTGTACAGGGACTCAAAGGAAGGACTCCTCAAAGAGTCTTCTATCTGCACAAGGAATCTTGGCTCCGAAGGGAGCTGAGGAGCTGGGAAAATCTGTCACTAGGCCAGAGTTAACGTAATAAGATTTCACTCATTTTCATCCAGTCTTAGTTTCAGTTCACATGTATCGTTTCATTTTTACAGTCCCACGAGAGAGAATTTCACGGATTTACCTGTGAAAATGTTCCCTCCTGTTGTGGTTGGAAACGATGGTCTTTTGACACACAGTGCAAAGAAGCAGATGCTTCTGAGAGGCACAATTTTTATGAATTAAAAGGGCACCTCCTGCATGATGAGTGTTCATCCCAGCACCCGTAGGTGTGAAAGGTACTCCTGCAAAATGATGCTCTTTCTTCTGGAGTCAGTGCTATCCTATGGAAGTGTCTGTAAAGCAGAGGAAGGTCAGCAGGGGCTGTAAGGAGACTATCAAATGGCACAAACTCCAACATTTTCCCATTCCTGACCCTCATCTTACCATATTGATTCCTTTGAGTTCAGCTTGTTCCTTCTCTGAAACTGTTGAGCTTTGTGAGATCTCTTGAGATGCTCTTGGCCTCCACACAAGCATAGAGGGTCCTTAAATAACACCAGCTGGAAAAAAGAAGCTGCTGTGCAGGTGTTTAACTAGGCAGGTAAGTGAGGGTGTCGCAGAAGCTGCTGGTTAAGAGCTCCTGGGAGGAGGATGTCCACACACCTCATTTCTGGATCTTTGCCTGTGAGCTGTGCAGGCCACATTCTCCTTCATTTCTCTCTGGCAACAAAGCCTCTCAGGCTGACAAACAAGAGAGTGCCCACATTATGGAGAAGAGATTTGGATGCTGCTTGGAGCAACCTTGTCTAGTGGAAGGTGTCCCTGCCCATAGCAGAAAGAATGAGAGGAGCTTGAAGGTCCCTTCCAACCTAAACCCTTCTGGGATTCCACATGAGGATAAGTCCCTCACTGTTCCTGTGTCTTCTAGGTTCTTGTTTATAAGTGTATATTTTTACCTTTGACTGTTGTGTATTAAAAAAAGTGTAATTATGAACAGCTTTCACACATGCAAGTCTTTTAAATATCAAGATGAGATCTGTGTGATATCATAGCATTTATTTCAAAATGTCCAGTTAACCATATGACCTTTGCTTTTAAAAAGTAATTATCCAAAGCTCATTTCATGTGAGTTCCCTCCTCTCTCCTCTTCTGGATGATTTGTATGTTCCTTCTTGTTTCCATTATAAAATTGCTGGAGGGATATTGCTACCAATGATTTATATGTCTGGTGCACATTGGTATTTTCAGTCCTTCTTCCAAAATAGCTGGACAAGTTTAATCTGAAGCTTATAAATCACTGTGTGGTAAATGAAGCAGGATTTTAAATAAGAGATTTAAATAAGAGCTGAGCTTTCTTTTTCATAATCATAATCATTAAATTTGGCTGTGGTAGAACAGTCTTGCATGAACTAGGAAAAATAACCCCGGGATATGGATCAGTGGTTGTGGAGTGTGTTGTTCACAAGGGGGGTGAGGCACTGCATCGCTCTGCCATGGAGAGCATCCTCTTCCACCTCACTCAGCTGGCAGGGGCTGCACTGACCCTTCAGGGCTTCACTGCTCAGCACAGAACTGCAGCAATTGATGCCTCAGGTCTGAAACACTGCCTTGATTTGGGAGACTTCCCTCTGCCTTGGAGGAAAGAGGAGGCTGAAGGTTATTTTCTGTTACCAGGACAGCTGGATAGGAACATTTTAAGTCATTTTATGTTCTGATTTTAGGGTGCTCGAGCCTTGAACGGGTTATCTCAAGTAACAGGAGGGGGTCTGTGAGCTGCACCTTGCCCAGGGGGGCTTGAAAAAGAGCTGGGGATTCTCAGTGCAGGTGGAAACCTCTTTGTGCTGCATTTGCTGTCCATGTGGACAGTGGGCATATCAGAGAAATACCAGGAGAGAGCTGGATTCCTTTGAATTCAGGAACAGTGTGAGTTTCAGGCAGGGCAGAAAAAAATACTTGGAAGCTAAATGAGAACTGGTTTGCTTTTCTGTTTGGTTGTGCCAGAAAACACACAGGGCACTAATTCTTGAGTAATCCAACAATTAAACATAATATTCCTGCTCATAAATAAAGTCCGACCAATGAACTGGTTAAGAGGAAAACCTGGGGTTTGTGATGGCTTGTAGATATTCCTCTCATTTACAGATGTTCCTGTCAAACCCTCTCTGCTGGGAAATAAAAGTTGTGACTGTCAAAACTGTGGAATGAACTGTTGACATCAAACTGATATTTGGAATAAAACTGAGAGGACTGTGGACTGATTTGACTGCTGCTGGAGCTTAGTGTCATGACTGAAAGTCACAACTGGACATTTTTCTATTACAAAGAAGTATAAAAAGCAAAATAACTTGGAATAATTGTTATCCATTTGGAAGAAAGGTTTCCTAGTGATGGAGCAGGTTTCAGTCCTGCTGCAATTGTGACCTCTAGTGGAAAACCAGTTTGTTATCACAGTGATTATGCAGTGAATTGCAAAGTAATTCAGTGTTGCAGTATTCATTATGTCTCACGTCATAGCGTTTCCAGGACTCATGGATGATACAATCCCTTCAAGGCACCATGCTATGTAAAAAAATACAATTTATTCCCACTAATGCTTCTACAAGGTCTCAGCAGGTTTTTATAAAAGCTAATTTTTATAGAAATATGGTCTCAGGCTTTCAGGAAGGGACTTGAAAAAATAACTGCAGAAGCAGAAATTCCTTGGAGAAGGTTCTCTTAGCAAAAGTCCCATTGTTATCCCATAACAACATGTAATGCAGTGCCAGTATTACTTGTGTGCAGATCTGTTGAGACGTTTCTAGATATCAGCTCTGAGAGCCATTATAAGGAAAGATTCATCCTGCCATTAAACAAGTGGGCAAGAAGATTTGGAAAACACAATCGAGGAAAACAGTCTGAACACAAAGCCCGTGGCACAGCAAATGAAAGTTACATATGGTATTTTTCATATTTGGATGAAGACAAAGCTCTTTATAATCCTGAATAATTAAGATAGGTAGGCAGCAGACTTTCTTTAATCTTTAAATAAATGCATGTTGTCTTTGTGATTCTCACTGAATGCATTTCTGTACATTTGTATTTCCAACTTTTGCCCACCAGCAAGCACCTATTTGATACAGACAGCAGCTTGTTTTGCTTTGAAATAGTTTTGAATCTTGACTAATAGCAGTATAAAAAGGTGTGTTGTGTACTTTTAGGGTTACCTTTGTTTTACTTTGAGGGTTTTTACAGTTTGAGCATGAAGGAGTGTACATGATAAATCACAGCTAAGCTCAGGTACATGACAAAAATCCCATCCCCAGAATATTTCTTGGTGCCCTGCTCATTCCAACACCCTACCCTGTTCATGGAAGCATTGAAAGGCACTGAAATGATGGAGGAGGGAGCACCTCTCATATCTGTGGCACCTGACTCAGTCAAGGTTCCCAAAGCTCCAAGGAGCCTCATCTTCCCCAGCTGGAGTTAGGAAACTGCGCCGTGGGGCTTTAATGATGAACTTGGAAGTGGAGCAGGGGAAATGGAAGCATTCCCTGGCGACTTACAGCATCTAGTTTTGATGCTACATAATGATAAGCAGTAGGGAAGAGAGGTTTGTGTGCTGGGACTGATTGAAGTCTCTTTCTTCTTATTTTCAGGGTATGAACATAATCTTCCATGTAGCCTTGGCTCTCTTAAAGGTAAGTGATTTTTTTAGTAATTTATTTTGTTTTATTAAACTGTCTGAAATAGTTTTTAGCTTAAGGTATTATGTCTAAAGGAACAATAATAGTGGGACTTCTGGAGTAGGGAGTGTAAGAGAACTATCATCCATTTGGGTAGAGATGTCTTCAAAATTGTACTTATGATAGATCTGTTTTTATTAAACTTAATTGTGTCATGAAGTTTGTGGAACAGGGAGTGCAGTCTAAGGATTTGAATGTCTCATGTAATTACTATTAAGAAAACAATTCTGATTCATTTCACAGCGTATCTGTTTTGTTTCTGGCCTTGTTTGTAAGCAAAGTGACTGAATATTATTTGGTATCAAATGTATTTGTAAAGAGAGAAATGGAAATCTTTTGTACCATGGGGAATTTCTGTCTTTGCCTTGGGCACAGAGTTTACCTAAACAAGTAAAGCTGTAGGTGAAGCACTGGCATTTTGGATGGCAAAGGTAACTTACACTGACCTTCATGAGTTGCCTCTAGTTCAAATCCAGCCCCATGGTGAGGAAATGTCCAAAAGAACGTGTGTTTTACACTAACCCAGCCTGTATTTAATGAAGTCTCCTACAAACAGGAGGTTTGTAGGTTCAGTGTATGTTTCCAGGGAAGTGCTCCTACAGAAATGTGCATTTGTAAAAATGAGGGAGGGAAGTGTGTGCTCCTTCCTTCCTGTTTCATGTTTTATTTGCAGCTGTGGGGGGCTTGTTCATATTCTGGTGTTCAAGGCCAGTATGGACAAAGGGAAATCTGGTGGGTTATGGCTTGATCTGCTGTTGAAAAAGGGAAAGGAAGCATCCAATCAGCACCCAGCAGATATGATGGTGGTAGGACAGGTTCTGGGAAGAGGTAGAGGTAGAAGTTAAAGTATTTTGTCACTCTTATTGCAACTAAGAGCTTCAAGAGTTGGTTCTAATTTTGCTTACAGCAGTTCACGTATAATGTATGTGTGTGCAGTGTGCTGCGTGTGCCTGTTCCAGCAGTAATAGGCTCTGAGGAAATGGGAGGGGAGGTGTTATCCTGAGGAAGTATTTCTATAGTGCAGCCAAAAACAAGAGCAAAGAAAATCCAGGTAAGAAAGAGAAGATTTTAAGTTAGAAATATTCACCTAAGAGCACAGCTCCACAGTGGCACGGAGATGGAGCTGGTGCTTATATGGAACTGAATCAATCAGCTTTATGATCTGCTTTCAGCAGGAATTACTCTCTGTTGGGGAAGGAAATAGTTTTGTACTGTGAGACCCGAAGTAATTTTTTTTCCTACTCAAATGTCTCCATAATTTCTCCTAATCATTAAGAACCAAGTGGTTTATTGCACTGCTCTTCCTGAGTGACAGAACCTCAGTGTGCTGCAGAAAAAATGCCTTAAGAACTGTGTTTCAAAACTCTTGTTTCTCTCTAAGTCTGAAGTGAATGAAAACAACTCCTAAGGATTGTTACAGTGATTATTCTCCCATCCACAATCTCTTGGATTATTATAAGTTTGGCTGAGGGAATCCTTCATCAGTGGAATATTGGAGTCTTTATTGTCTAAATGCCATTTTCCTCACTCCCAGTGAAGTGTGTGCATCCAAATCCCTCATTAAATAGTAACAGAAGAGGAGCTTTTATCTGGAACTCAGTGCTGTGTCTCACTGTTCCAGCTGCTGGTGTTCTCAGGGAATGCCTGTTAGTTTGGAAATGACAGTGCTACTTCTGTGACCAATTACCCAAGACATCTTGATGCAGTCGTCTCTGGAAAATAAACACTCATGACACAAGGGGACTCCTTTCCCTTTCCTTCTCCCACTCTCCGAGTGTGGCTGTAGCAATGAACAGTTAGAGGATTAGCTGTGGAGGCCAAGGTTTGTAATAGGGCATTATTCTGATTTCTTGTTGAAGGGAAAGCGCTGGGTTTTTTTCTGTAGCATCCGAATGTTGTGCTTTTCTGTGCTTTTCTGCTCTGCCCAGCCTGCTCAGGCTCCCCGGCTGGGGGCACTGTTTTACAGTGGGAATCAGTCATGGATTTACAGCATGGAGCAACTGCACCTGGATTACTGCACAGGAATCTGAGCTGGTAGAGAAGCAAATCCCTCACCTCTCATTTTCTGAGCCGTGGAAAATGTAGTGAAGCACTGGAGTGTGAAAAGAACCCCAGTGTAGAAAAAGGCGGCGCAGAAGCCTGTGGTTTAGAACAACTCAACAAACAGCACTGATATTTTCATTTTAAAAATCCCAATTTAGACTATTAATTGAGAGTGTCAGGAAAATGGAATGGGCTGCCCAGGGAGGGGGTGGAGTCACCATCCCTGGAGGTGTTGAAGGTGAGACTGGATGTGGCATCAGTGCCATGCACTGGGAAGCATGGCGGGGTTGGAGCAAGGGTTGGACTTGATGGTCTTGGAGGTCTTTTCCAACCCAGTTGATTCTGTGATTCTGTGAAAATGTACTATTCCCAATCTCTTGTGTCATCAACTAGTTTGTTTCTTTATTGGAAATTAAAAACACTAAAATCTTCATATATGCTAAGAAAAAGAAATCAATTATAAGCTTTCTTTCATGTTTTAGTATTTCACGGAATCATAGAATATCCTGAGCTGGAAGGGATGATCCCCAGGGATCATTAAGTCCAACCCCTGGCCCTGCACAGACACCCCAGTAATCCCCTCCTGTCCCTGAGAGTGTTGTCCAAACCCTCCTGGAGCTCTGGCAGCCTTGGGGCTGTGCCCACTGCCCTGGGGAGCCTGGGCAGTGCCCAACCACCCTGGGGGGGAAGAAACTTTTCCTGAGATCCAACCTGACCCTCCCTGACACAGCTCCAGCCCTTCTCTGAGTCCTGTCACTGGTCACAGAGAGATTTCACTGATTAATTCTTAAACGTTTTGTTTCTGATCCTGCAACTCAACAAAACCAGCTAAAGGCGTGCTTTGTTTTGGAATTATCAAACTGAGGCAAGTATTAAAATATGTGATTGTGGAGAATTCAGGCTCTAGATTAACTGCTGTTCTGGCTGGTAACTCCTGGAAAGGCATGTTTGTATGGAATATTATTCCTCAATAACCAAAGGGTTCCACAAATACTATTTCTCTTCTTTAGATAGGGATTTGTATAAGAGCACAAATTCTGAATAAAATTATGCTGCACTTCTGTATCCATTTTCATTTCAATTCTTAAGGAACATACAGTGAATTGTAGATTTTCTTTTTTCTCTTTAATTGGGACATAACATCTGACCTAACCCCTCCTGGATTTTGCCCATCAGCAAAACTTGCATATTGTCAATGCAGATAATTAAAACATGTCAATTGTCTTAGAGTCAGGAATGAAATTGTGACAGTTCTTACAACTTTTCGAGAGGTATCAGATGAAAAGTGCTCTGAATCTGTAGGTAATACGTCTGGTATCCAAGAGATAAAACAGCTGTTTCATTCTCGCTCTGTTCTTTCTTTGTATTTGCAATGGCTCGAGGAGCCTGAACTGATTTTGAAGTCAGCACTTGCTTTGAGGCAGAGGTTGGGTGAAGTGACATACAGGGCTCCTTTCCAGCCAAAACTGGGTTTGATTCCAGGGGAGCTGGCTCAGTCCACTCTGGGAGTGCATTATATCTTCAAAAAACTCCTTTCAAGAGAACCAGAAGCGTCCACATTAGAATCTAAGGCAAGAAAAATATGTTCCTTATATCTATACCCCGTTTTTTATAGCCTCTCTGTGTAGCTGATCCCAGGGTAAGAGCTGACACTTCTGGAAGAGAAGAGAATCCTGGCTCTTTGGTGCTGGAGATGAGAACCAGCTGTTCTCTTTTCAAGGCCTTCTGCTTTAGGCAGAGGGCAAGACATTCAGTTTTTAAGAGTCTCTCAGATCACTGTTTTTGTATTTCTAGTTCCTAAATTGAAGATGTCTTTAAGCTGTAGGTTTTTTTGGGCTGAAGAATTCCTCCCCTACCCCAAAAACCAGGACTGGGTGATGTATTGGAGATGATCTCTTTAGAAACAGAAATCTGTGCCTGAAAATGTCAAGAATCATTCAACTTCCAGACTACTGATTTTCCAACCTTAATAGAACCAATTTTCTATTTTTAAAAGTCCACATTTATCTGCATGCTGAAAATCCATCCTGTCCTGACCAGTTAATATCTTAGCCCATTTGATCTCCTCCTCACACCTAAAATCAGCTCAATTTCTATTAGGTGAATGTTCACCATAAATTTTGAATTTTGGGGGTGGAGACGTGTTCTCTTTCAAGGAAGAGTAGCCTGATAGCAGAGAAAATAACATGAAATTTGTTGACCTGCATTTCTTTAGCAGCACTGAACGCTCCTCTAGATATTGATGATTCCTCCTGTTATATTGTCTGTTGGTGATTTCTAGATGTTGGAAAGTGAAGATAGTGTTTTCAGGGTTCCATACTATTATTTTTATTATTAGTTATTATTTCTAATATTATGTAATACATGTGTATGTCCCATGTACCTAGCAAATCTTGTCATTCTGTGGGAAAATGTTTCAGGAACATGTGATTGAAATAAATAAAACCATACAAATAGTCATTCCAGACCACACTTGCAGCTTATCTACCCCAGTATCTCACTGCCAACAGTGGATTCATGGGAGAGACTTGTAAGAGCAGGGCAATAATGCTCTTTTCTTTTGCCTCTGGCAGTCTGTGTCTTGAAGACTCTCTGAGAAAGAAGTGGTGTCTCATGTTTAGTAACTCTGCATGGATTGTTATTCCATGGGTTTTTCTGCTGGCTCTTTAAACACATGAAAATGAGGAGCTGCAGGGATTTTCTCAGCTGAATGATCGTTTTGTTTGCTTTGAGCTGTCACCTATGACTTCCACGTCAGGGTCCCGTGTTGAGAGGCATTTTGGACACAGTATCTCTTCACACACCACCCAGGATTTCATAGGTCTACATATCTCTCATCAACTTCTATTTTCCAGGCTTAATAACCATAGTCTGTTTTTGTCTCCTCCTCTGGAAGCCTCTGATGAGCTTTA